GCCTCCGCAGTCCCCTGGGCCGGGCCGCGGGGCAATGGGGACCTGTCCCCGCACCCGTGTGTCCTTCTCCCACCTGGCAGCCTCTTGTTCAAGGTCACTGCAGTAATTCCATCTGAGCTGCCGGGTGCTGCCGCCTTATCTCCCGCACAGCTTCTGTTTCACTCCCTTTATATTCCGGCGGGGGGGATATGGTGTTCAATAAACCCCGCTGCTTTTAACACCGCTGGCAGTGCTCCAGCCAGGGCCACGTTCCTCTCACCCCTGTCCCAGCCCCTGCTTCCCATCTCTTCCCATGCAGACTTCCCGGCCCATCTCGTGGCAGGCAAAGTCCAGCTGGGATCGGGTCTCCGGCCAGGACAAGTGGTGCCGGAGCTCGTCACGCTGGACCTGGGGTTTGTCCTGCCAGGAGACCTGTTGGAGGCAGGAGGGACCGTCCTGCCCCGGAGGAGGAGTGCCGGTGTTTGCTGGTGTTTGCCAGGCCAGTGGCACCTTTGGAAAACGTGACTTTATCTCCCGCCTGGGTGTTGGTGGAAAGCAGAGTGCAGAGCCAAGTCCTGGAGGACTTTGCTGCGCCGCTGCCCTTGTCACGAAGGTGTTTTCGTGCCAGGCGGGCAACGGTGCGGCTGTCCACACCGTGTGCTCTCCCGGTGGGATCCAAAGGCTGTGCTGACGGGCTGCATTGCGAAAGGGAATCGATACAGGGAAGCGTCTCGAGAGACACTTCAGCCTCCCGCGAGCGTGGTGGTGCCAGCCTCCTCTCTGACTCACGGGGGACATTGCCGGCGGAGCCGTGGGGCACCCGGCCGCCGGCCCGCGGGAGCAGGAGGTGCTGGACTGGTTGCACGGGTTGCACGGGAGTGTGGCAGGCGCCGTGTGTGGCTTGTGGGCACGTCGGCGCAGCCCTGGCCCAGCTCCGGCGGGAGGGAGCAGTGTCCCGAGCCAGAAGAGGGCTGGACGCGGCACAGCGGCTGCAGTCCAGGAAAGTACCGGCACCCCAAGGTGGGTGGTGGGATGGAAACCAGTAATCGCTGTCCGCAGGCCCTGCTGCGTAGGGGAGATATTCCTCTGCCCACAAGCGCTATCTCGGACGGGGAAATATTGCCACTGAGTTTTGTTGCAGTTGCAGTGGGAGCTCTGGGAGCAGCCTGGCTCCGCGGCCCTGCTGAGGGCAAGGCAGCTCCAGGCAGCCTCTGCCTCCTGGCTTTGCTTAGCCCTCTGATAAAATGAGGGTAAATGGTGTCTTCCCACCATGCAGGGAGAAGGTGAGGATTAGGACTAGCCCGGAGTAGGGGGCAGAGTGGAGATGGGCTCACGTGAAAATGGGTCCAGACTGACCCACGTGATTTTGCATCCCCCGTCGGGTGCAGCACGCCCCAAGGACGGGCCCCTGCTGCCCCGGCCCTGCATCTGGGCACAGAGAAGGCTCAGGCAGCTCGGGGGTTTTTGGAGAGGGGGATTGCATTATCCATCCCGCTCGCTGACCTGGCGCTGGAGGATAGCACCCCAAATTCGCAACCCCGCATCAGCATGCACTTCCATATCCGCAGCCTCTCGCGGAAGCAAAATTATCAAGTTTGCTGGGAAAACCCACCCGAGTGGCTGCCAGTGCTGGTAAGTCATGGCAGGCTCTGACTCACGGCAGGGCTTTGGTTTTGTAGGACCCATCCTCGGCGGCACTGAGAGCCTTGGGGCGATGGCTGGGGCAAGCAGGGCCACATATGGCCGCAGATAGTGCATCTGGGGGTACAGGGGAGCCCCTGGCTGGCGTGAGGGCTGGGGGGCCTGAAACCAGCTTTTCCGGGATGGTGGGGCTGAGGCAGCTGGGATCTGGAGGAGGGAGCTGCCATTTTCAGGTGGTTACTTTTAGAAGCAGACGTGCAGGGTAAAATCTCCTCCAAATGTTGCTAAATCCAGAGCCAAATCTCTTGGCGGCTCCTCGGTGCTGGGTACTGGCTTGCTATGAGATTTTTTTCCCCTTGAGCGTCCTGCGTGTCTTTGGGTTAGCGAGCAGTGGCAGCCCGGCATAGTGCACCTGATGCCCTGACGATGGGCACTTCCACCTTGAGAAGTGTCCCAGGATCCAGCCGGGGGCTCTGGGGACGGGTCTCAGTGGTTGGGGCGGTGCTGACGTCTTTGTGTCCCCGTTCCCCGCTGCAGGTGCCAGTGAGGCCGTGGCCGTGAGTGCCCATCCCTTCTCCACCATTCCTTCCTGCCCCCGGCGTGTCTCCGGCACCGCACAGCCATGACGACCTCGGCGCTGCGCCGGCAGGTGAAAAACATCGTGCACAACTACTCGGAGGCAGAGATCAAGGTGCGGGAGGCCACCTCCAACGATCCCTGGGGACCCCCCAGCTCCCTGATGTCGGAGATCGCCGACCTCACCTTCAACACGGTGGCCTTTGCCGAGGTCATGGGCATGATCTGGCGGCGGCTGAACGACAGTGGCAAGAACTGGCGTCATGTCTACAAAGCCCTCACCCTCCTGGACTACCTCATCAAAACTGGCTCTGAGAAGGTGACCCACCAATGCCGGGAGAACCTCTACACCATCCAGACGCTGAAGGACTTCCAGTACGTGGACCGGGACGGCAAGGACCAGGGCATCAACATCCGAGAGAAGGTGAAGCAGGTGATGGCACTGCTGAAGGACGAGGAGCGGCTGAAGCAGGAGCGGGCGCACGCGCTGCAGACCAAGGAGCGCATGGCCCTCGAGGGCATGGGCAGCAGCAGCCACCAGGTCGCCTATGGCCGCCGCGCATCGCCCTACGGTGACGACTATGGCCGGGCGCGGGGCTCGCCTTCCTCCTTTAACTGTGAGTGCTGCTGGCAGGGGCCTGGGGGCTCGTTCGCAGGGCTGGCGGCTCGCTCGGGCGCGCTGTGGGGTGGAGGCAGGCGTTGCATTTGGTTTGCACCCTCCTGGTGCTCATCGCTCCCCGCCACCTTTTGGAGGAGCGGCGGTGAAGCCTGACTCTATCCTGTGCCGCGGGCAGAGGTTTGGCTTGGCCAGTGGTGAACCCCAGCAGTGGTGGCAGCTGGCGGTGCCCCAAACCTTAAACCCATGGCTCATTTGTGGTAGGGAGCTCTAATGTGGGGCTACATCCCCTGGGGAAGCCATGCTGCGGAGCTGCGGGCGTTGGGATGGGGCCTGGGGGAGGCTGCTGATGTGCTCCCCAAAATACCCCAATCCTGACGCTGCTTCTTCCCCTTTTCCTCTGTTATCTCCCAGCATCATCCTCATCCCCACGGTTTGCCTCCGACCTGGAGCAAGCGAGGCCCCAGACGACGGGCGAGGAGGAGCTGCAGCTGCAGCTTGCGCTGGCCATGAGTCGGGAGGAGGCGGAGAAGGTAGGGTGGCTCTGCCCGCCCCAGGGCGCGCGAAGCTGGGCATCTCCCTGCACCTTGCCTTGTCTGCGGGCATGGTGGGTCATTTCCCTGGGAGGAGGGAGGATTTTGGGGGCTGCCTGAGGCCGGTGCATGCACCTGCAACTGCACCAGGCTGCTCGCACTGTCCGGCACCCAAAATTGCCAGCAGGCAGATGGAGGCATGGGCTGTCCCTGCTCCCCGTCCTCGTACCGGCAGGGACAGCACCAGGCTGAGACCCGTCCAGCCTCCCAGACCCCAGGGTGAACTTGGGGGGGGTCTTCTGGATTTACTACGACCCCTCCCAAACCTGGCTGCGCTCTTCTGCCGAGGGCTTCTGGTCTAAGCTCGCCCCATTTCTGTTGCCTTCCTGCGGAGGTTTTAGGAGGCGATGCCTCGCGCAGCGCTGCGGTTTGCGTGGTGGGTGGGGAGCCGGCAGCATCCCCGAGGCTGTGCACCAGGCTGGGGGCTCAGTGGGGCCGGGTGCTCCCTCCCACTGCTGGTCCTTTCAAACCGGGCTTGAAGGAGCACTGGAAAACAGCACCAGGAGGAGCTGAGCAGGGATGCGGGCAGCAAGCGAGCTGCTGTCCCCAACCGTGAAACCTCCCCCAGGGCTGTCCCCTCTCCTATCTGCTGGCCACGGCCCCTTTTCCACCCGGGACGGCTTATTTGCGCACCGGCTGAGATTGCCGCTGGCTGGCACGGCCTGTGTGGGCACGCGGGTACGGCCGGGCACACAAAGTCAGAGGGACGTGGTGACCGAGGGGCTGTGTGCCCGGGCTGGTGGGCGTCCCCCCGGGGCTGGCACTGAGCACTGCGAGCTCGGTCCTGCCGGGGCAGGGGACAACCTTTGGAGACGGCGCTTGCTGCTGCCCGTCTTCCCTGCCTGATGGAGGCTCTTTTGGAGATGGAGCAGAGCGTATATCCCTATTTTTGTCCTGGAATTGGAGTATTTATAGCTTCCATACGCTGCTGCGATGAGCACTGTAGGAACACGCTCTTGAAAGTGTTGCCTGTTGGAGTCCCTCTGGGCTGTGCACATGCGTGCACGCTCGCACACACTTGTACAGGTGTGCACACACAAACACCCCCCCCACCAGGGTCCCCATTCCCAGCCCCAGCTGGTCCCACGCTGCTGGACAAGCGTCACGGAGCGGTAATCCGGGCTGCCATGGCTGTACGGGGACAGCCTCTCCCCAAAATCTGCCTCAGGTCTGGGCGCTTTTCTCCCAGCAGGGCAGGGCCGGGCAGGATTCCCGAACCGAGGCTGGTCGGCATTGCAAACCCACCTCCTCAGCAGGCTGCCGGGGCGAGGGGCTGCCTAATCGATCCCCTCTCCTCCGCTGACTGCATCGGCGTCCCTGAAAACCTCCCAGGGGAGATGCTGGCTGCCTAATTTAGGGTCATCCCGGCCTAGATGCAGAGGCAGGTGATGGAGTAGGGGAAGGAGCTGGGGTAATGGCTGCAGGGGAGCCTGGTTCAAGAGCGTAGGGGCACCGGGCGGGGGGTCTGCAGGCAAAGCTGTCTGGATGGGCACAGAGATGCTGTGCAGGCAGGCAAGGGGCCGCAGGAGAGGCGGTGGCAAGGACAGGGACCTCCAAGCAGTCCCGCGAGCTGAGGGCAAGCTGAATTTCCCAATTTCCTCTGTTGGCAGAAGCCACTCCCTCCAATTTCCAGTACAGACGAAGAAAGGCAATTGCAGCTAGCGCTCGCGCTGAGCAAAGAGGAGCACGAGAAGGTACCTGTGCCCTGCAGCCCCGGGCACTCCTCTCTCCTTGCACTTGGGCTTCTCTCTGGAGCGCTGGAGCCTGAAACGCCTCCTCGCTCCGGCACCTGCTTTGCTTTCGCTGCTCCGGGCTGTCTGCTGAGCACTCTCCTGGCGGGCTCGGCCCCAGAGGAGCCGCCTGCTCGGATGCTGGGACTTTTCAGGGATGCGGTGGCAGCTCTTGTGCTGGGTCTGTCTCCTGGAGAAGGTGCTGCCTGCAGGGTTGCTGAGCTCATGGGCCCTGTCCCTTGTCCCCACAGGAGGTGAGGGCTTGGCAAGGGGAGAATTCCCTGCTGCAGAGAGCCATAGAGGAGACTGCCCAGGGCAGGGAGGAAGAGGAAGAAGAAGATAAGATGAAGAAAAGCCAGGTACAGCGCTGGGGGCCTGGATGGCCACACAGCCAGCCTTGGGCTCTGGGGCGATCCCGCAGGTCTGCCTGGGGCTTCCCTCACCCCTTAATTCCCTTTCTGTTTGCAGTCCTCTATCCTGGAGCTGGCAGATATATTCGGGCCGGCGCCAGCCCCCTCCAGCCACACGTCTGCCGACCCATGGGATATGCCAGGTGGGGGCAACTCGCAGGCTGCCAAAGCTTGGGACAGTGGCAGAAACCTCTCCCTTGCCTCTGTCCCTCCCCAGCAACAGTAAGGACCTCCTGCTTCTCCTCCCTCCGCTGCCCGGTCTGTTGCATGCCCAGGCAGTGCTGCTGGAAGCCGTGGTCCCCCGGGCACATACCTGCCGCTCAGCATCCCTCCGTGCCCTGCGCCATTCCCCTCTTCCACAGCTTCCCTTCTTCTTTCAGATATGAAACCCAAAGAAATGCTGGAAGCCTTGGTCCCCCGGGCACATCCCTGCCGCTCAGCATCCCTCCCTGCGCCATTCCCCTCTTCTCTT